CTGGCACTTAGCCGCGCTTCATCGATGGGAGTGTGTGATGGGGGGGGTGGTCAGCCGAGGTCCTTCTCGTTGTGATGTTCTAGGTTCCGGCCCCAGTGAGTCTGCTGCCTCTTGCCAGCCCTGAAGCAGCCCCCAGATGGGGGCACTGGCGGGTGTGGGTGGGTGTGGGGCAGAGGGGACACGGGGAGAGGAGGGCACGGGGGCAGCCCGAGTGACCCGGGGGCCGCTCTGTCTGTGCCAGGGGTCCTAGAGGAAGCCGAGTTCTACAACATCGGCCCGCTGATCCGCATCATCAAAGACCGGATGGAGGAGAAGGACTATCCCGTCACACAGGTCAGGAGCAGCAAGGCAGCAGGGAGCCAGAGCTGGCTGTGGCGGGAGAGCCAGAGCTGGGGGAGGCGGGAGGAGGGTCGGGAGACGTGGGGAGGCCCAGCTGGCCTGTGACGCGAGGGGGTTGTCCAGCTCCCAGACTGCCCAGCAAAGCCCCAGACAGGGAGAAGGACGCTGGGTTCTGTCCCTGACTCGCCTCTGTTCGCGGTATGAATGGGCCCCCCCCACTGAGACCTGCCCCCTCTTCCCTTCCCCGCGGCAAAATGGGGTCAGTGTGGAGGCACAGGGGGCCTTGTGGGGGCAACGCAGGATTAGTAAATTGTCCATTTCGTGACATCAGGCAGACCCCTGGGGGCAGAGCGCGAGGTGCTGGGGCTTAGGCTTCTGAGCGCCCTGGGCCTGGTCTGGAGGCGGGGCTGGGGGGGGGCCCCTCTGGCCACCCAGGAGGAGACGTGGGTGGGGGCAGGCAGACGGGTGGCCCCCGGAGATTGAAGGGGGTTAGCTCCGTGGCCTCTCTTCCCCCTCGTACCACCTGTGCTCCTCCTCTGCCACGCTTCGGCTCCGTGACCTTGGGCAAGTCAGAGCCTCTGTGAAGATCCCGTAACTCGTGGCGTGTGGGGAAGGATGAAGTGAGACCGTGCGTGTCGAGGGCTGGGCACACGGGGGGGGGGTCCTCAGGACGTGGCTGCCGTCTCCCCACCTTGCACCTGCCCCTCCTTGTCTCCTTAGGGGTGTGCGGTGGGCGGGGGGAGAAGAAGTTGCGGGGGTGACAGGTGCTCGTCCCTCCCCCGGCTGCCCTCCAGGTCACCTCTCTGCCTGCAGGTCCCCCCCAAGCACGTGTACCGCGTGCTGCAGTGCCAGGAGGAGGAGTTGACGCAGATGGTCTCCACCATGTCAGACGGCTGGCGCTTCGAGCAGGTGGGTGGGGGCCACGGGGCCACCCCTGGAACCACCCGGCGTCACGGGGAAGCCCCAGGCTGGGAACCCCCAGCCATCACGCTGAACAAGAGTAGGAAAGGCCACGCTCGGCCGCAGAGTGATCAGAAGGAGAGAGACAGAAGACCCAGGCGGCTTCGGTGGGGGTTCTCCCAGCCCCCGGGGCGTGGTCTCCGCAGGGGCACGGGCAGGTCTCTGGCCCCCAGGCGACAGCTCAGGAGCAAGGGGACTCGATCCCCCGTAGGTGAGCGGACCCCACCTGGGGTCAACGCCTCTCGTGACAAGGCCCGGCAGCTTCCGGGTCCCTGCCAGGGACCTGCCGAGTCACAGCCTTGCCACATCCGGGAAGCCCAAGCGGTGACTTCCCACGAGGACTCACAGGGACCGATGCAGTCAGGAGCAACTTGTCGTGAGTGGTGCCATCCTGGCCACGCAGCTCACGTCACGCGGCTCAGGTTTCCAGAGGAACAGAGCCAGCAAGTTAACCCCACGTCACATTTGTCCTTCGAGAAGGAAGAGGGTTTGGCTGGCTCTGTAGCCGCACCTGCCCACGGCCCCTGGGACGTGGAGGTTGAAGAAGGGAGAAGGCCAGGGCTCCCCGGATGGCCGGGCGGTACGGAGGAATAGCTCCGTCCAGGAGCCAGAGGCCTGGATCTGCCACTTGCAGGCCATGTGACCCTGAGCGAGTCACATCTCCTCTCTGGGCCTCAGTTTCCCAATCTGTGACGTGGGCCAGTCGTGCTCCCTTTGCAAGACTGTTGGGAAGATTAGAAGTGCCGTGGACAGGGGCGCCTGGGGGGCTCCGTCGGTTGAGCGACCGACCTCGGCTCAGGTCACAATCTCGCGGTCCGTGAGTTCGAGCCCCGTGTCGGGCTCTGTGCGGACAGCTCGGAGCCTGGAGCCTGCTTCCAGATTCTGTGCCTCCCTCTCTCTCTCTGTGTCCCTCCCCTGCTTGCACTCTGTCTCTCTCTCTCTCAAAAATAAACATTGAAAAAGAAAAAAAAGAAGTGCCATGGGTAAAGTCCCTGGCCTAGAGTAGAACTCCCTGGAGCCAGGCAGGATCACATAGATTAACAGCAGGATCACACAGATTAACAGCAGGATCACACAGATTATCAGATTATAAGACTCCGGCGAGGACTCAGGATCCCGGGGTCTAACCCCTGTTCCACTCTTCCTGGCTGGGGGACTTCCTACAGGTTACTGTCTCTTCAAGCCCCGTTAGCCAGAGGGGCTGATTTTCACTCTGCCTGTTGGGCGAGGGTCCTGGGGGGCCGAATGTCCTGCGCAGGGCCTCGTGGTTGTGGTTCTTCCAAGGACCCCGGGACAAAGGTGGGGCTCCGTGGAGCCCACGGGAGCCTCTGGCAATCGCATGGGCTCCCAGAGGCTGAGCAGGCAGCTCAGGGGGCACCGATCGTTTGCCCTCCGGCCTAAGGAGGGGACAGCCCCTTCCACCTCTGCTTCTGAGGATGAACAGAATAGTCTGTGGGGCCCCACCATGCCAACCCTACCCTACAGCTTGGTTCTGGGGCTGCTTCAGCCACGCCTGGGACGGAGGTGGACGATGATCCGCCCAGCGTGGCCTCCGCCTGCTTTTAAGCAGCGGCTTCTAGATCTGGGGCTGGGGTGAGGGGTGGGGAACCGCAGAGAGAAGGCGGCGTCCTCCAGGGGTCAGGCCCCGCCCCGCCAAGCCAGGGCGGGTGGCTGTGCGGGCTGCCTTTAACCCGGCCTCCCAACCTGTCCTCTTTGTCCCCACGCTCCGCCCCCCAGCTGGTGAACATCGGCTCCTCCTACAACTATGGCAACGAGGACCAGGCTGAGTTCCTGTGCGTGGTGTCCAAGGAGCTCTACACCTCCCCGCACGGGCTGAGCTCTGAGTCCAGCCGCAAAACCAAGGTGAGCCCCCCCCCCCCCGCCTCAGCTTCCCCCGCCCTTTTCCTCCATCCTCTCCCTGCCCTCCACCCAGCCATCCCTGCTTCTCTCTCCCTCCTGCCGCACACACATAACCAACCACCTGGTCACAGCCAATGCCATCCATCCCATGCCACCCACGGTCCCGTCTGCTCACGCCGGTTACCCAGGCCCAGGCGGGGGGAGAAATGAGCTAGGATCGTCCCAAGGGCACGGCCAGAGGGGGCCTGGATGCCGTTCGCACGGCGGCCACAGGGTGTACCGAACTAGGGGTTTGGGCACGGTGTGCCGCGCCCTGCGTGACCTTGGACAAGCCCCGGCCCTCCGGTGTGTTCTCTGAGAAGTGAGGGTAGACTACGTCCTCTCTGGTGCCTCCACGCTTAGAGCTTCTGGGATCCAAAATGGCCAGTTTATTTCCCAGAGGTGGGTAAATGTTCCCAGCTGGCCAGGGCCGGGGCAGGGAAGCCAAATCTGTGCATCCTGCCCCTTCCCCGGGGCCCCTTCCTCGGGTGCTCTGCAGGGGAGAGGTCAGCAACCCCGGGGGACCCAGCCACGTGTTCCTGCCCTGGCCTCCGAGGCAGCAAAGCCGGCTGTGGGGAAGGGGGCTGAGCACAGGTCCTGCTGCCTCGAACCCAGAGCCGGTCAGAAGCCTCGAGGGCCTTTGGTGGGGCCGATGGGGCAGGGCAGCAAGCCAGGCAGGGAAAGAGGGAGACCGTTCCCTCTGGGGGGGAAGGGGGGGTCTGTCCCAGTGCGTCGGAGACTTACGAACCCGGGCTTCCTGTCTGTCTGTCTGCCTCCCCGTCCTGCGACTCCCCCTGCCCACCCCACCGCCATCAGGGTCAGTGGCTGGCACTGCCTTGCGAGGGTGCAGAGCAAGCCCGCTGCTCCTGCCTCTCTGCGCCAAAGCCTGGGAGCTTGGGGCGTCGGAACCTGTCCATGGCATCCCCGGGCCTTCCCTGGCCTCGTGTCTACTCTGGGTCAGCCCTCCTGAAGTGAGGCCTTCCCAGGCTCCCCTGGCCACACACCTACCCATTCCTCTTCCAGCCCTCACCCGGCCTTGCGCCCCGTAGTAGCGGCCGGACTGCTCCGTGAGCATCCCCCAGCGGGGGCCCCGTCCCGTGCCCTTCCTCCAGGCCCTTCCAGAGCCCCCAGGGGACGGGACAAGACGCCCCAGCTTCTCCCTCCTTAAGGTCCCCCCGCCCCGCCCCCGCATCTCGCCCGCCCTGAGAGGGGGCCCACGGGGACAGCCGCCCGCCGGCCCTGGCCCCTCGTTAGTTCTCCACTCTTTCTTCCCTGGGTCCGCCGGCTGGTCCACAGAGCACGGAGGAGCAGCTGGAGGACGAGCGGCGGCAGGAGGTGGAACAGGTGCAGGTGGAGGCAGGTACACAGGAGAAAGGTGCAGCCGCCCCCCGAGGAGAATGATTGCGCATAAAAGCCAGAGCCTCCCGCCCACTGCCCCGCTGGAGCCAGCCGCCGAACCGGGGGGCCGGGGCCTGCGGGCGGGGACGGGCCACCAGGGTCAGCTCAGCCGCGCGCCCGGCGCCTCGCCTGCATAACCATCCCTTCTCTCGCTTTCTCTTTACAGCCCAGTCCTCCCAGGAGCCCGCTAACCTTTTCTCCCTCCCGCCACCGCCGCCTCCTCCGCTTCCCGCGGGAGGCCCCGCCTCATCTTCATCCACCTCTTCCTCCTCCTGGATCTCATCTGCACCCTGCCTCTTCCCTCTCTGCCCCTGTCCGGGTTTCCTCTCTGCCTGCTCACGCCTCCATCCCCGGGCCGCCCCGGCCCCCGCCTCCCGCGCCCTCCACCCAGGCGCCCCGGCCCCCCCGCATCCCAGAGCCTCCCGCCTGCCGCCTCCCGCGCCCCCTCTGGCGCCTGCCGCCTCCCGGCCTGGGGACGAGGGTCGTGGCCGCGTCTCCTTGGCGCCCGCCAGCCCCGCCGGGCACCCCTGAGGCCAGGCCGCCCCGCCCAGCGCCTCCCGTCCTCGCCGCCGCCGCCGCCTCACGTTTCCTCCTTGCAGGTCCCCGTCTGCACCCCTCAGGGCTGAGGCTGCGCTTGCAGCGAGGGCTTCTCCTCCTCGGGGCCCCTAGCCCGCCCCCCCAGAGCCGCCATCCCTGGTTTGTAGCTTGGCGGAGCTGGAGGGAGGGCGGCAGCCAGGAGGGGGCGCGTCTCCTGTCCCCGGACCTGAGCCTGACTTTTCAGCCGACTTTCTCCCCTCACCTGTTTTGGCCTTGGGTGTGAGGCGCGGAGAGAAGAGCCTTAGGGGGCGGGGCCTCTTTGCCATCTGTCCCTCAGCCCCAGAGCCGGGCTAGGAAGGAGGGGGGGGGGGGACGGCAGCCAGACGCCTTGGCCTCACCCCTGCCCATCCAGGAGCCCCTGCATCGCAGCCTCGCGGCACTGGGTTCCCCATCTCTTCCGGGGTGGGAAGGACAGCCGGCCGCACCGGGGTTCCTTTGGCCTACGAGCAGTCCGCCAGAGCTGGCTGGGGATCAGGGCGTCGCGGAAAAAGCCCTGGCCGGGTGCCTCCAAGCCCCCACTCCGTCGTAGCCGCCTGCTCTGTGACCTTGGGCAAGTCACTGTCCCCGTCTCGGCCACAGTTGCCTCTAAAATGGGGATAGGCAGCTGCTGTCTGCCACCTTTTGCCTGAGCCGGCAGGGACCTGACCTTGACCACCCCACCCCCCTTCCCCAGCCAGAGTCACCAACGCTCTGGCTTCCACGGCAGCCACCACCCAGCCCAGGATGGGGCGTGGGGCTCCCGGATGGGCGAGCTGGGTCCCCTTCCTGCTCCCCCTCCTCGGCTCTGAATTCACCTTCTCTGGGCCTCAGGCCCCCCCCCCCCCTCTTCTGAGAAGGGACCCTGTAACTCACCTACCTCTTTCTCTCTCCCTCTTCCCCTCCCCTCCCTCCATTTCAATCTCCTCTCTGCCCTCCCCTGGCCTCACCTCACCCCTCCTCACTGGCCCCACCCTGTCATTCCTCTCCTGGTGTTCTGACCACCCCCCCCCCCCTCCCCCTGCCCCTTCCCCCTCTTATTTTCTAGCTGTTACAAGCCAGAGGCACCCGGATGTGAGGCCCCAGATCACCTCCAGGGACTTGGGGTTCCGATCTGAAATCCTTTATTTTTGTACCACGGGGTGGGGCCCCAGCTCCAGGCGGAGGAAGCACTCTCCCCCCTGCCACTTCTGTCTACACCTGCGGGGCTGTGATCTACCCCTGCCTCTGGGGGCCGGGTGGGGGCCCGCTGGAGCCTCTCAAGGCCTGAGGTGGGCCCTGGGACCCCTGGGCAGAGCCACTGGCCTGTGGCCAAAGTGTGGCGCTGTCCAGCTGTGTTTCCCACGCCGCCATGGTCCCTCCCCCGGGTCCCCCAGCTGCATGAATGAGACCCTCCCTCCTGACCCAGTCACATCTCCTCCCTGAGCCTTAGTCTCCCCATCTGTCCAGTGGGTTCTCTCTCCCCACCGCCACCTACCTCACAGGGTTGTTGTGAGGTTGACAAAGAGGAGCAGGGTCCCAGAAAGCCCTCGGGGAGTGTACAAAGCACCAGGCAGAGGGTGGCCCTCCCTTGGCCCTTCCCTCAGAGGGGGAAGGATCTGCTCAGCCCCACATGGAGATTCAGGTATTGGTGGAACAAAGGGGGTGGGGGTCGGCCCTGTCGGAGGAAGGGGGAGGGGGACTCAGCCTCCTCCCTGGCTGCTCCCACCGCCCTGTGCCCCCCTGGGTGCCGAGGGCCCCCCCCCCACCCCAGCCAGGAGGGGGCGGGCAGGGGCTCCGCAGGGGCAGTGCAGCCGGCAGGAACCAGTGAGAAGGGAAAGGGGGCCGCTCCTCCCTTTGCCCTGGGGAGAGTCTGGGGGCAGCAGGGGCTGAGCAAGGGGCCCCTCCTGAGTTGATGATCTCCCAGGCTGTGCCCAACCCCACCATGTAATAAAACCTGAAGAAACAGCCACGGGGCTGCCTCCCTCTCTTCCTCTGGGCCGCTTTTGGGGATGGGGCTAACCTCAAGGTCGGATAAATGACTCAAAGGTAACGGGGCTTTTTCTTAAAGCCCGGGGCCCTGCCCTGTGGTCACTCTTCTGTGTGTATGGGGAGGGGGGGAGGGAGGTCACAGCTGCATCCTTCGCCCAGTGGCCCAACGGCAAGGTCACCAGCTCTGCCTTGCTGGGAGAACGTTGGCACGTGCCTGCCCCTCTCTGGGCCTCAGTTTCCTCATCTGTAAAGTAAAGGGTTGGACCAGGCGACTCGAAAGGCCCAGCCCCTGGAGCCAGGCAGGTCTCTTCCTGCCTCCCGGCATCCCTAGAGTAGCTGAAATCAGGATAGCAGCCCCCGCCCCGACCCGCTTCCCAGCCTCACCCTACTGTTCCCCATGGCCCTTTGCTTCACAGCCTCTGCTGTGTCCTAACCCCCAGGGTGCCCCCTCTGCATCCTGCTGTGACTTCTCTTGGTCCCCTCCACACCTCGCCATTGCTGTCACCCTTCTGTCGCCAGTCTCAGAAAATATAAACACCCGGGCGCCTGCTCCACGTTCCCTGAGCCCGCCTGCCCGCAGGACCCTGGGCTTCTCTTTCTTGCCCAGCAGGGCCTCCCACCCCACCCTGCTCCGTCCTGGCCAAGCCCTGCTAAGTCTCCACCTTGCTCCCCTGCCCTGGCATCCCTGCAAAACAGGGGGCCCCTAGGCAGAGGCCTTGCCTGGGGCCAGGCGAGGCTCCCCCCCCCCCCCGCTCCACTCAGGCCAGGGGGGACCCTCACCACTCCTCTTGGGGCATCTGGCTCGCCGAACTGACCTCACATTTTGTGTCCTGCTTTGCAGAACCGTCCCCAGGACGCTTGTTAAAAGAACAGACCGTCCAGCCTGCCCCCATCCCCATTCTGGCTAATTAAGACCGGGGTGGGACCCACAAATGTCCATCTCAGCAGGGCCCCCAACGCTGTCTGGCCGCGCCTGTGGGAAGCCTGAGAGGCTAGGGGCTGGAATGCTTTAACATCCTCCACCACCCCCCCCCCCGGACCTGGAGCTGTCCCCCTAGGGTCTGTTCTGTCCTCTCGTCCTGCAGGCGGGCCCAGCAGGCAAGAGATCGCCTGCACGGGCCTCTGGACTAGCAGGCCATAGCCAAAGCACCAGAGGTCCTCTCTGACCGCTGCCGCTTGGTCGCTAAGGCTCCGCCCTCCCAGCACCCTTTCAGCTCTGGCCACGCCTCTCAGCCTCCCACGGGAGCCCCCCCTCTGGAGTGTCTATCTCCCTGTCTCCTCAGCCTCCCCGGCAGCGTGTCTTCTGAGGAGGGGCTCTGAAATCCTCCAGACCTCAAGCCCCCACCAGGCCAGGCAACAGGGGATCAGAACAGACCCCTTGGAATGGTCCCTGGGTGATTCCTCTGTCACCCAACCCCAATCCATGGAGGCACCTGGAGGACACTGAGGGTCCTTCAAGTCCATCCTTCCTGCCCTGCTCATTAGAGCCTACCCTCGCCCTCCTGGAGTCCTGCAGTGGTCTCCTCAAGGCCTCCCTGCCTCCCACTGCGTCCACACTGCTGCTGGTGGTCCATTCCACAATGTGAATCCACTCGCGTGTCACTCTCCTGTCATAAAGGCTTGCGTGGCTTCCCAGAGCATGCAGGGTCAAGTCCTAAGCTCAACTCCAAACTCTTTGTCAGCTGCTCTGAGTCCCCCTTCCCACCCTTCATTCCTTCCCACTCAACCTCTGTTTCGCTCAAAACAGCTTACCAATATGTCCCGTTCTGGTGGGACTCTGCATTTGCACGTGCTGTTCCCCTGTCTGGAATGCCCTTCCCCACCTCGGCCGTCTTCGGGCCACACAACTCAAGTCTCACCTCCTCCAGGCAGCCTTCCCTGACATCCCGAGTTCTCGGCTACCCCAGAGCCCCTTCATGCTGGATTGCCATCCCCAGGCCTCCTGAGATCAGGAGCTGAGCTCTGTGCATCTCCGTGGCCCCACTGCAGGAGTTGACACACAGCAGGAGAGCCTGCCGGGTAAATGGTGCCAAGAATGCAAAGGGAGTGTTGTGCCGGAGAAGTGGAGGACTGGGAACCAGGAGGTGGGGCTTCCACGCCAGGCTTCACCCCCAACCACGGGTGTGCCAATGAGGACGGCTCTGCTCCTCTCTGCCTCAGTCTCCTCCCAGGCTTCCAGAAGGAGCCCATCACTTGTGCCATCCTTCGCTCTGATCTCCGGTTCACCAAACCCCTGCCTTCCTGGGGTTGGTCCTGGGACCTGGACAACTGCCCGGGAGGTCACTCTCCCGCCCCCACTGACCTAACCTTGGCCTTCCAGACATTTGACGAACAGACCGGGCAGGAAGCGGAGGCTCGCACAGTCGAGAGCGTGAGGTCAGTGCTCCAGGGCCCTGTTTAACCCCCAGAGCAGAGCCTCAGATCAAACGGCTTTATTCCACAGGGCGGCGGAGCTCACTTCCAGGTGAGAGTGAGCAGTGGAGGCCCGGGGGACAGGTAGGGGTGGGGGGAGAACCCTACACCCGGGGCTCCCCCACCCTTTGGCTTACGGTGGCAGCTGGCCCAGCTGGCTGTCTCCGGGGCTCTGCGGGTCCCTCGAGGGTGCCTTCCATCCACACCCCACCCCCCCCGGCAAGTTCACGGGCTGGGATCTGCTCGGCATTGGCAGAGGGGAGCCCAGACACCTCTCCTGGGACCCGGAAGCCCCGTTGGTGCTGCTGAGCCATTTCCCCCACCCCCAGAGTCAGCAGTGGAGGAAGGGGGAGGGGGAGAGGGAATCAGAAGGCGACAGGGCTGGAATGTGAACCCCCTCAGCCGGGCCTGCTGACCATCCCGGCCCTGGGGTGCAGGGGGAGTCGACCACCAGCTGCTGGCCCTCCTCTTCCTCCTGTTGCCCTCCCCGGGGCAGATGTCAGGGAGCAGGTCGGGGACCACGGGACGCCACCCCCTGCCTCTGCGGGGCCCTGCTTGCCCCCAGAAAACTCGCTCCCCTGCCTCGTGGGTGCCCTGGCCACTTGAGTCCGGGAGGTGGGCCCCAGCTCCGCAGGGAGGGCAGCTCCTCAGCTCAGCACCTGCTGGATCCAGCCAATCACTCCTGTGATGCGGGTGTAGACACCAAAGTAATTGGGCCGGCCACAGCCCAGACCCCAGCTGACCAGCCCCGCCAGGAACCAGCGGCCACTGGGCTCCTTACACACAAGCGGGCCTCCCGAGTCGCCCTGCAAGGGGGAGAAAAGAGACAGGGCCGCGTCAGGGTAAGGCGAGGGTCCTGGCCGCTGGGGATTTTCCAGCCGACAAGAAAGTCACACCCCCTTCTGAAGCCTCCACTTGCCCCGCGCCTGGTAAGTGGAGAGAGCCCAAAGCAGCCCTGCCCATGCTTCCGCGGGTCCTGGCCGTCGCGGAAGTGTCCGCGGGTGTCCCCACGCCCCACTCACCTCTGCCTCCCTTCTGTGGGCTCCCATCCTTGCCACTGTGTCCCCTCAGGCAAAGTGCCTTGCAGGGGCAGGGGGCGGAACCGGGTTTGAGCCTTAGACCTGCCCCCCAGGGTTCTCTTGGGATCTGGGACAACCTGGGGCAAGTCTCTCCACCCCACCCCCACCCGGAGCCTCAGTTTCCTCATCAATGAAGTTGCGGCTAGCCAGCCCCGCGTCGCTGGGAGGCTTCAGGGCCTCGGCAGGCCGGCGCGAGCAGAGGGCCAGGCCGTGGGGGGCAGGAGGGCCACCCTCCCCCCCTCCCTCCTCTTGCCCGCCCCTGCCTCCCCCAGAGTCACCTGGCAGGCGTCCTTCTTGCCCTTCCGGTAGCCAGCACACAGCATGCGGGGCGTCACCTGGTAGCGATAGGCCTCGCTGCACAGATCCTGCGGGATCAGCTGCACATCGACTTTCTGCAAACCGTTGCTGGTGGGGCCTGCCCCGTGCAGCCGAGGACGGAAGGCAGACGTGAGATCTGACTCTTCCTCCCGCCCTTCCCCTTGTTCTCAGGAGCCCCCCTTCATCTGCTCTGCTCACCCCCTACCCCTCCGCCTCACCATCACTCGGCTCTGGCTCCTTGCAGCCCCTGGGGACACAGCCCCCCCCCCCCCCCCAAAGCCTATCAGGACTAGTGTCCTTCTCCCCACCCCCCAGCCCCTCCTGCTGGCGGCCTCTTGCCTGCACTGCTCGGTGACGGCTCCTGGGGGGATCTTTCCAGAGCGCACACCTGACCCCTACACTCTTCCCCTAAAAGTCATCAGTGCTACCCCAGCATCCAGCCCAGTGC